GAGTAGACGATAAACAATAATTATGGAGGCTGTTGGCATGAAGGACTAGCCTAACCCTATACTTCTTGACGAAGCCGATAGCAAAAGCACCAAAAGACAAATTAACTATGGTTTTGTCAGTAGTCGACAAATATTGCAAGATGATGGGTTGAAATTGAGGAAATGAGCAAAGAAAAGCTAGGCCTAGACACACTATAAACAACTTGGCCGCCCAATTTTTGTGACTGTTCCCAGCACCAGTGACAAAAATTTGTCGGGAATGCCCATATCAAGGATACCCCTCATGATAAATAATTCATTGAGATCGTGGAAGCAATCACGACTTCAGCTTTGTTCCATTAAAAAAAATTTTTTTTAATGGAGATATAAAGAAAATTATATTCAAATTTTAGTCTGAGAGAATGCAATTTCCGGCGATCTAGAGGTGCCATAATCAACAATTTTCTTACCTCAGCCCCAACCATAGTGGGGCTGAGGTGGTATAGATCCTCCATCTGTGAAAGTACCCTCTCCAGGGTCCCCTCTATTTTGAATTCCTGGTTCAGCCACACGAAATTACAATAATTATGAAGTCATATTAGTGTAGCTTGATGCCTATATGAAAATAACTAATAAAATTCTGTAGCTTCCCACTGGACCCCTCCCGGGGGCCCTTGGCGGCCTATTTACTCCCAGCCTAGTTGCTCGCTTCGCTCGCATGCTGGACCTTATGACCCTCCCCCCCCACTTGCTATATGATCATATGAATACCCACACTCATACTAAGGGGACAAAATATACTGAAGAATTCCTGAACTCCACTGACATCTTTTCTTTTCCATATTTTTTGTACAGTCCGCCAGAATTGGTATAAAATAATCCCCTCGCCTTCCCCAGTGAGCTGCGTATCAGTTTCATAGGTTGATATACTGACAAGGGTTATGTGTAGCATACGTCCTTGACATTGTTCACTATGAAACCAACATACCATAATTTACTAGACAATTTCGTTGTTTTAATTTCAGCTGGGAATAAGTGTTGTAGATTCATCTGTCGCTGGTCTTGGTGGTTGTCCGTATGCCAAAGGTGCATCTGGTAATGTTCCAACAGAAGATGTTGTATACATGTTAGATGGAATGGGGATTGAAACGGTTAGTAACCTATGATTTGGCTTATGGAATTCTCCCCAGGGAGCTGAGCAGGGGTGCCAAGTTAAAAGAATCTGCATCCGTGAGATCTGCTTAAATGAGCTTTTCAACACATATTTATATATTGTGCTGTGGATGATGACACCCATTGGCTCAGACATCCAGGAAAAAACTGATACAGTAATACAGTATTAAAAATTAGTAATTAGCAATTATTTTGAATTCACAAGAGATGGGTTATTTTCTGGGAGATTCTTGCTTGCTCGTGGGAGTGTGGGAGGCTATCCCATTTTTCAGGAGACTCCCATGACTTTGGGGAGACTTGGGCCTCTGGCTAAGTATGAGTTTCATATGTGTTTAATCCAGTGAGGGGGATAAGAATGTGAAGTGCTTATAGGCTTTGTTGGCATTAAGTGATGTAAGTTCGACATATTATATTACAGTATTATAGAATATAGAATAAAAAATTGTATGTGTCTATTTCAAGATTTAAACAAAGTATTTTTCGAAAACATACTGTTTCTTATCTCCCTTTCCTGAATTACAAGATCCAAATCTTATTAGTTGCAGTGTGTGTTAATTCTTTACAGTTGACAACATAATAATTCACAACAATAATCTTTCTTCATTTTTCTACAGGGTGTTGATCTTGGAAGGTTGATAAATGCAGCAGACTTTATTTGTAAGGCGATTGGACGACGGTCATTATCAAATGTTGGTCAGGCTAAAGGTCACCTTTAAGTTATCCATCTACCATAGTAGCTCAGATGGTTGGGGGTTGAAGGGAGTTGAGAGTACAATTTGAGGTCCAAATAGAAAATCCATCATGAAGCAGGAAAGTGTACTATGATATGGATAATGAACTGTAGGATGCAATGGGACTTAAATTTAAGAGGAAAAGCTACTAATGGTGTCAGTATACTGTTACTGTTAATTTTCAAAAAACATGCACGCTAAATGTAATGTAAAACAATGAGTACAGTAACGATGTTGTTAAACTAGGTGGAATTTGATGAGGCGATTCACAAAGTTTTGTAGACTTTTCAATTATTATTTCGCACCACTACAGATTCTCTAATTGGATAGGCAGGCTAAATTAGTACGAGCAACTTTACATGTGTACTTTTGTTATCCTTAGTTCTAAAGTATTGTAACCTTCTTCTGTCAGGACAGTGGAACTTGCTGACATTTTCGCCATTTGACTTTCCATGCTTCTTTGTTTTACTACTCCCTGTTATGTTGTGGTTGCGTGACCATGGCGTATTATACCTGTACATGAGTTTTCACAAGTAAAATGTTGTGAACATCCAGTCTCCTCTTTTCAGCAGCTCATCACACGAAGCGACATGATAAAATAAGTACTATGGAATCCAACTGCTATTTACAAGTCTTTATTTCTTTCACTACAAGGTTACATTGCGCTACAGTATTCTTCATCTACATCAAATCAAAGCGAAAGCGGTTCTCCCCAATTTTCAATTTTCTCCTATTTTTTATAGCCTCAGATATTCAAATTAAGGCTTCTAAACTGGCTGAGGAAAACCTGTCTTATCTTTGGTCAATTTCTCATTTTTCAATTTTCCCTCCGAAATTCTAATCTTAGATATATCCTGAAATTGGCAGACCGTATATGAAGGATTGAGGTTAGCATGTAATTGCTATAGCAGTCCTTCCATAATATCTTTGAACTTGTGTAACCAGTTTCTTGTTGAGCATAGTGAAAGCTATAGTGCATGCTCCCTTGTCTTGAACAAGTGTCATGGGGATTTACATGATTCTGTGTCACAGACACCTTTGACTTTGCTGACTCGCATTGGAAAATTTCCCTTTCTTGTTAGACAACATATAGATGATCATGCTTTTTATCTAACAAATGCTGCTTCTCTGCCTCTCTCTGGTTTGAAGACTGATTAATTCTTTGGTTATGACAAGTCCAATACAATCCATGGCTTGGTCATTCAGAAATAATTGCTTATCATTTATTAAATTAGGATATACAGTACCTTTGGTACTCTGTAACATGATTGAACAAAGATATTACACTTTTTATTTGATTCTTCTTACTATAAGCATCAACATTATACATGAAAAGTTTCTCCTGACTTCACCTTTGGTGATGGATGATGGTAGTGGTCTGGATTGGGGATCTGCATTTTCAAAACCCAGGTACCAGACCTGGAATTAAAGACCATGGGTTTATGCATAATGTGTTATGTACTATATAGGTTTAAGGACTAAATTTGTTTGAGTTGTACTTTGCTCCTCCTGATTTCTTCAATTTCAACTCAATTCCATGAAAGTATGATGCCATTTTTGCATATCCAGGAACTAATCTTCTATAGTAGTTTGAGAGGCCGAGAAAGCCTCTAAACTTTCGCCAATCACTACAGCTGTACTACATTTTCTCGCGATGGCGCATTACCATATGCACACTCAAATATTACCAAGATTAGACTTTGGTCCGAAAAAACGACACTTTCCAGGTTTGACCTTTAAGTTGAGCTCACCAAGCTGGAACAACCATCCCAAATCTCCTCTAAGTTTCGTCAAACATAAAGCAATTGCCCCAGTCCAAGTTTCTGATTTCCAATTGGCATGAATACAATAAAGAATAATGGTATTTATACACATCCAGGTAGTCTAGTAGAGTTCGAAAATTTTGGTCTTCTAATACCTTGTCCAAACCAAATGGCAGTTTAGTACACTCATAGAGTCCTCCAGTGCCAGTTAGAAAAACTGTCTTCTCAGCGTGTGGAATTTGATAGATTCCGTGGGCCAGATCTTGTGTACGGAAGAAGTATTTTGCACCAGTAAGAACATACAATGCCTCATCAATTCTAAGAAGTGCGTGGACACCTTTATATGTTTTGCATCTCCTTCGTTCAATAATTTCTTCATTCTTCTACAAAACTCCATCCAGCACAACTCTCATTTCACCTGCTATTGTCGTTTTCATTGGTTTGATGGCTTGAAGGGATAAAAGCACATCCCTTATTAATGCTAAATCTGGTACCTTCTCCTTTAGATGTTGCCATGCTCCATTTTCTCCGTCACATGGAAGTCAGTCTGATATTTGATCTTGTATATTTACTGGGTGTAGTTCTCAGTTATACCAGTTCACTGTCATGTGATGAAAGGCCCCTCTCTTCTACCTCGTGGTGCACCAGGGGATTATGGTCTGTGAATACCATGCATCTGCATTCAGTTAAGTACTGACTAAAGTTTTCAGTCACAGACCATTTTAACACTAGCAATGCGATCTTAAAACTAGGTATTCAGCTCCCACTAACCCTCTTCTGACAAAGGCGATAGGGTTTACTTTTTCGCCACTGTCCGCTTGAATCAAGCAGGCACCAAGACCTCAGAAAGTTCCAGAATGAATGGGTGAACATGCTAGAACTGGCGTCTTTCAATGTCCCAGTCGCTTCATCGTCTTCTCAACACAACTTCCTCACTTGTTTGGTTGCTTTGCTCTTCAATGGACAGCTCTTCCCTGTATATGCAGTGGAGCTGCTATGTGTGTGAATCCAGGTATAAGTCTTCGGTAGTACGGAGACAGACCTAGGAAAGAACTAATGGTAACTACTGTACCTCACTTGCACATGTCAGAATAGGCCAGTTTCGGATCTTCTTCGCTTTTTTTTTATGAGTCACAGCTACTCCCCTTGCTGACACAACATGCCCCAAGTATTCTCTCTCTCTGTGCATATGACATTTCTTGCCCTGCACCTTTAGACCATTCTATTCTAACCTGGTCAGCATTTTATCCAGTCTGTGGAGATGTTGTTCTATAGTGGTAGAGAAGATTAATATATCATCTACGTATAAGATTACTTCATTAAGATTCACATCTCCGAAGATATATTCCATTACTCTCTGGAAAGTGCTAGGGCTGTTGATCCCTGGGCATTAGATTAAATTCAAAGAGGCCCGTGGTACTCTGAACATTGTTTTCTCGATCACCTTGTCTTCCATTGCAACTTGAAAATATCCATGGGCACGATCTAGTGTAGAAAAGTTCCCCATCAGTCTGGTCAAGCTCCCCCCCACCCCATCGGCCAAAGCTTGTCGGCAGTCGGACCACAACAAAAAAAATAGGCCTAGTTTTCCCATCCCAGCCATTTCCGACCATCTGCAGTATAGTCCCAATTAAAAAAAAAAAAACTTGTTTTGGGGAGGGAGACCCCTGCCATAAGTAATGTTATATTTATATAGCGCATATTGCACATTGCTCTTATGCGCTTTACAGAGAAATAATATAGGCCAACTCAGAAAATGCAAATAACAATAAAATAATAACAATAAAATAAAATAAAAATAATCATAACAACAATAATAACAATAAGACTAAACTACTCCTATTCCTTAAACTAATTAATGGTTGGCCATTGACTCCGAGGAGCTCATCCGCCCTTTGTTCAGCTGTTGGTTTTTCTTGCTGCTGGGTGACCATAAACACCCTCCCCTCGGCAGCCACTAAGACATATTTGAGAGGGTTGTCAGTTAAACAGTCACCGACGCTTCGACCGGATGGAGTTTAATGTCGTACCCAGGACGTCCCTAACTACCTAAGCTAGGCTTAACTACTCTTAAATTCAGTATATTACTCTTAACTACAATTAGTTAAACCATCCCGGTATTTAGCAGTTTCTGGGCCATTTTATCAACCATAAACATAAGTCGGATAAATAAATGGCTTTTAAGAAGAGGTTTAAATCCTCATTAAATACCCACCCTTGGCTCGGCCTTCTGCCCTCAGATAACACTGTGCGCTATAGTTACAACCATAAATACTTAGGCCCCCCCATAAATTATATCCTAGAGACGCCACTGGTTGAGCATGAGAGAATTGTTTGTCTTGAATCAAGGTGGATGCATGTAAGGCTACTACTGACATTCAAAAGAACCTGTAAACTTTTGTCCCGACATGTTTACGTAAATTCATGAATTGATTGGTGGAGCTGGCTTGACCCTATCTATCTTAATGGACTTTCCAAATCGACCCAGATTCGAGAGATAGAGGATAGGCCCTAGGTAAGCTAACTACACCTGAGCCTAGCTCTAGGCCTATCTGTGATCGACATCATAGGCTAGGGTAGGCCGCGCCTAGGCCTGTGCATGTAGGCCAGTGCAGGGTTAGTTAGTATGATTAGGCCGAGGTTATATCATGGCTTGTGCCCAGGTGTATCTTTATTTTTACCTGATCGACTTCTAAAACATGTTATTTCTGATGTTTTGTGCCATAAAACTAAAATATATCCAGTGTAATGCAATGGGTACGAGAACATGCTCGTCACCCATTTTGTTGAGGAACATGAGAAGTACTGGGCGGTGAAGCTGCGAAACAAAGACTGGTTCTTTTACGGCCTGACTCGATAATTTTTAAACCTAAGCATTGTAGTACGGAATAGATGTGATTAATTGTATTTACGTGACGTAAGCAAATTGCCAAACATGGCGAAATAGGTACTGATTTTAGGTGGTTTTTGGCTGTTTTTTCGTTGTTATCCAATATCCAGCCTTAAAAAGTAGCAGCGGTTTCAGAGGAGATGGGGAGGTTACGCGGTAGTGATTAGCAGAATTAATATACTGTATAAATATTGTGGCCGCCTCTCATCAATATATGTATATATATATATATATATCACACTGAATACTAAGGTATTTATTCGATCCTCTCGACTTAAGTTTCCGACTGCAAATTAGTCACTTGACCACTCAAATTAACCATAGGGTCTGTGACATATATACATTGAAAACAAAGAATTTCACTTAATGACTATAACAGGTATAGTTATTGGGTAAGACTAGAAGAATTATACAATAAACATGTTATCAATTACAGACTGGACCACATCAATCTACATTGCCTTGGGAAGATAATGTAGTAACTGTCATTACATTAATGACAGTTACATTATTAAAATATCTGAAAATACAGTATATAAATGCATTTTTTTTTAATGATAATACAAAGAAACTTAAACAAATGCAATGATAAGAATAGGTTTACATTAAAACTCTTCAAATTCGTAATAGGCATAGCAGTAGCAAACACTCTTAACTTCGATAAATAAAGCAAATTACAATGTGTGATATAACGTCATGAGAATTGAAATAAAACGGATAGTTAAATGGATAAAGTATTTTATATAATTAAAAATGTATTCATATAAAAAATCAAGTTACACATTAGTCTTGTGTCATCATCTATAAACAAGATGCTTTCTACTTTTCCCTCTTATGTTGCCATTTTTAAAATACAGTATTCTTTTACTTCTACTAAGATATTCTTTCCGCGTAGTTACTGTGTGTCTTTTGGTTTGTCTGGGAGCAGAGTTGTTGCATCGCGCTTTCTAATAATCGTCGCACTTGGTAATAAAGTCTGTCACTTTGTAATAACTGTCGCACTTTGTAATAAAACGCGATTCATGTTATCATCTAGGCTTGTAGAGTTTTGATAAATTCTCATTTTTCTCGGAGATCGAATTTGATTTTTCACCCTGTTTCATACTGTATCATCTTTACAGTGATGGAATGGCTCCAACCCCAATAGACCCCTCCCAGGATCTAGTGGGATTGGAGGGTGTTGGGTATAATTCTAGAAGGGGTCCAATTTTATATTTCTCATATGTCGGATTATATAATTTTATGTCCGACGATGGGGATATGGCTCTAATTCTACTAGGCCCCAGTTGGTCAGATTATCAATATGGTATGTCGTAGTGATCGGGTTTAAATCCTGAAGGGGTTCAATTTGATTTTCCTCTTATTTCGTATTATATCATTGTTACGTTGATGGGGTATGGCCCCAGTTGTACTCAGTCGGTCAGAGCGTCCACATAGTATGTCAGAAGAATCTGTTAGAACTTCCGAACAGTATGAAGGAGGTTCCGGGTCCACTTTCATTTTCTTATTTCCTATTAAATCATCGTTACGTTGATGGGGTGTGGTTGCAATTCTGTTAGACCCCCATAACTCAGTCGGTCAGAGTATCTACAACGCATGACGGGGTCCCGGGTTCAAATCCCAATGAGGTTCAATTTGATTTTCCTCTTATTTCGTATAATACTATCGTTACGTGGATTTGGTATGGCTTCAATTCTACTGGACCCCATAACTCAGTCGGTTAGTGCATCCACATGGTATGTCGGAGGTCTCGGGTTCAAATCCTGAGGAGTCGAATTTGGTTTGTTTGATTGAACTGAATTTGTTCGATGGATCTGGGTCAGTCGATTGATTGACCGCATTTAATAATTTTGAGCTTTTACTGTTTGTCAAATCATGAACCAATAAGTAATGAGAATATAATCGACATTAAATCTGTAATCTTCATCCACGTCATGTTTTATTTCTACATCACTTCTGAAAATAATGATAAACTGAATGTAGCCTTATTAAAATGACTAAACAATAGCTGAACTGCATAATTATGATACATATAACATTGACTATAATGCATGGTTTAAACATGTCATGAGGGTATGCCACCTACTGTACCTTGCAGATCAGGTGAATAACATAAATAAATTGAAAGATTACTATGCTACAACAATATTTTAAACAACAACAACAACATAATTATGGGTAAGTCTAATGATATTGATGTGAATTTTACATTTTAATGTATGACAAAATGAATAGCTAAAAATAATATTTACATAGCGGTCACTTGCATAGAATGGCTAACAGAAACACCTCTCATCACAAAAGAACCCCACTGGAAATAAGTCTTCTTCTAGACTTTCGTGGGCTATCCTTGGTGTTTACACCGAATAAATCCAATCCAATCCATATATATATATATGGTATAGCAAATTGCTTTGTTTCAGTTTTACTTTTTTCTCCAAAATATATCTAGGATTGTAAACCACCCATACCCCTCTCTCTGGAGTACAAGCCACGCATTTTCCCATTTTAAGTGCTAAATTATCCTCCTGATTTCCAATATAAAGCCACTGCATGCTCCAAATTTCGTTGTTATAAGTGTGTTTCTGGTAGCATCGATATGTGACGATTTGTTATTGTTCTAAAGAGTTTGCTCACGTTAAGCAGGTTATTTAATTTACGGCAAATATGATTAGGCCAAAAGAACCCTGATTTTCGGCATAGTGGCCTAATTGTATAGTTGCATACGGCTTACTATAATAAAGGTGCAATTACTATTCTAGCGTCGGCGCCATGCGAAGAATATATAATTATCGTTACAGCAAACATATCAGCGACAGGTTGTAATGTTAAGTTGTCACCATATGTTCCATCTTTTGACATATCCTCCACATATTTTCCCTACAACCAGCAAAATGGGAACCAGACCCCATCAATATGACGATGATAATTATAATACGAAAATTGAAATATTTATATTTTGAACTTGGGACCTCCGCCATACTGTTTTTAAATTTTAACTGATTTATTAAGCGAACATCTCCACTAAAGTGCTCAAGGCGCTAGAATTCACATAAGTAAAAATCAATATTTATTGATTCCACCCACAAAGACCCACATTACTGGAACAAACTACTAACCACCACTTATAAGTAAAATGACATCTATTCCAACATGAAAGAGAAATAATAAAATGATATTTGAAACATGTTAGATTGGTATTTAATATTCATTTTTTTCAATATATTACTTATTTACTGTTAAATTGTGTAATCCAATACCTGATTTCAGGTTATGGTTGGCAGTACTAGATCCACTAGATCCTGGGCTGGGTCTATTGGGGTTGGAGCCATTCTATCGATGTACAGATGATACAATGCATAATGGTAAAAAATCAAATTCAATCCCCGAGAAAAATGAGAATTTATCAAAAATCTATAATGATAACATGGATCGATTTTTATTACAAAGTGCGACATCTCATTTTATTACAAAGTGCGACAGACATTTATTACAAAGTGCGGCAGCTCAGTTATTACAAAGTGCGGCAGCTGAGA